CCATCTTTCTCCATATGCGATCCCACCATCTCCATATGAATTGAGCGATCGGGCATTGCATGAAGATGTGTTCGATGGTTTCCGCTCTTTTGTGGAAAGGGAAAAGACTTTGACACCGTTGGCACCATGGAAGCAGCAGACCTTTCTGTTATAAATTAGTACGGTCGGTCAGCCAGTCATTTGTTGGCAGACAGCGATGGGCGATTTGCCACTGTAGGGAAGTGATTTTCATGGGTTTTGCCTTTTGTCCTTTGAGCCATTTGATTGGGGTCAGAAGAGAGCGATCCACGTTTAGGTGTCTGGCCCATCTGTCTTTGACTATGTCTCTCAGCCGTTTCTTGGGTCTGAGCATTTTGTAGGCTGATTTGACCGACAACTGGCGTAGGCTGATGTGGCCTGCTTTGGGGTCTCCCCTCTGCTGGGGGAGTTCCCAAAACCATTCCGCTGGGTTCAGAGCCAGGTCCTGGACTGATGTGAAGGGCTGAAACACCACCCTCTGTCCTTTCTCTTCTAAGACTCTCACTCGATAAACGGATGCTCTCGCTTTCCATTCGAGGGGGGCTCTGCTACCTTGGAGGGTGTCAGTTCTAGTGATTGTGTAGTGTTCAACCAGAACAGCCTGGGGTGAAACCATATGTATCTGCCCTATCATTTGAGGAGACTCCTTGCTGGCTACCCAGTCACCTTCCTTTAAGGAGGGACCTTGTTTATGAGTTTGGTACCATGCCAGCGGGATAGCTTCAATCAGGTCATCCAAATGTTTCTCTACGTGGTGGCAGTATTGTAGGATTCCTTGCATCTAGTCTCCTGTTTTCCAATCTCTTATGTCATTATCCCAGAGGTCCCCGACCCTGAGCACCCCTCTCTTTACCCAGCTTTTCCAAGGTAAAGTTGAGCTTGTCATGATACAACCACTTAAATTAGTCACCAATCGGTTTCCAAACAGGGGTTGTCGGTAGACTTCCTCCCAGCGGTCGGGGTGAGTTCTGTCTGGGAGCGGGAGTCTGCGCCAGGTTTCCAATAAGAATAACCAGAAGTTATCCAGAATCTGGTCGCCTCCGTCTAGCCCTTCCCTTGCACGGGGGAACTTGCGCGGGATTGTCCAGAATCGGTCCTCAAGCCATATCAGCGGGTGAGTGGATTGGGGGGGTTCTGGGGCCAGTCGGGCTAAATGTTCCAGAGCCAATGCACACCATGGACACTGGGGGCCGAAAATGAGCTTTTTAATCCATTTTAGTCGTAGTGTTTGCACTTGCGTGGCCGGGTCAATTATTCCTAAGCCACCCCCTGCCTTAGGTTGGATAATGGAATCCCACGCCACGCGACTGATTACGTTATTTTGCTCACTGTCTCCCCTCCATAGGAAAGCAGCCGCCTTTCTCTTTATGCTCTTTAATGCTGTTTTGCTTAGTGGCCACAACAACGATTTGTACCATAACGATGCGAAGACCACGTTGTTAATTACTAGTGCGCGGTCGAAGAGAGGTGTGTGCTTATTTTTCCAGTTGTCTAGTTTTTGTCGTGCCGGGGTGCTAATTCATTCGTCGTTGATTGGAGAGCGTCCCTCGGCAGTCATAGAAACTCCAAGAATTCTTACAGAGGTCTCTAAGGGCATCCATTTAATTCTTGGTGACTCAGGGGGGCGTCCGCCTTGATAATGAATCCGCCACCCATGAGTTTTGCTCCCCTAGTTGACTATCATGTCGGAAACCTTTGCAAACTTTTCCATCATTTGCTGGATTTCCTCCATGTTGTTGTGTGTAGCCTCCGTCAGGATGGTGAGGTCATCCGCAAAACGGGAGCATACCGGGATTGCCTCCTCTGGGATGTGTATGACCTGGATTCTGGTAATGTTCTTGTTTGCCCGAAGGTTGGCGGCAAGTGCTTCCATGATGACCAAGAAAAGGAAGGGGGCAATTGGGTCCTCCTGGCGAACCGAACGTTCCAGACGTAGGGGCGGTGTCATGCACCCATTAATTTGAACGCAGGTGGTTGCATTCTGGTGTAGGATCTGAACCCAACATCTGAAGTCTGGTCCAAAATTCATTTTTTTCAGGCATTTGTCTAAGAACAACCAGTCTACGTGATCGTAAGTTTTTTCAAAATCGATAAAGATCAATGTTGCATTCTGACGAGGGTGTCTTGTGAGTTGGAGTACCTCATGGATTAAAAGGATATTCTCTAGAATGTTCCTGTTCTCCATAAAGTCGGTTTGAGAGGGATGAATGATGTCTTCCGTTATATGGATCATTTTGTTAGCTAAGGCATTTGACAACATTTTGTATATTACAAGAAGTGTGATAGGGCGGTAGATTCTAATGTCCATTTTATCCCCCTTTTTATATACAAGGGTTAATACTCCTTGCCCCACCCTTTCACCCATCTCACCCGTGATCCATACCTCTTTATAGAAGTTCATGATGTCCTGATTTAGAAAATTCTATGTAGTTTCCAAAAATTCTTTGGGGAAGTCGTCAATCCCTGATGTTTTTTCCTCATTTGCAGGAGGGCGGTCCAACTTTTCTGTTTGGAGATTGGGGTCTCTAAAGAGTCATGCTGTCCAGGTGTCAATGACTTGTTCATTGGTTCCAAAAAATCTTTTAGTCGACGATCGTGGTCCTGTGGGTCTGATTTGTCAATGTGCGTGGTGAAAAGGTCCTTGTAGAAGTCATATGTTATCTTGACGTACCTTGTCGTGGAAACAGCTGGATCCGATTCCATGGTTTGTGGTTCATAGAGCGCATCGATCGTCGTTCTTTTGAAACCAGGTCTAGCTAGGCTGAAAAAATGAGTATTCATTACTCCTTCAGTCGAGAGTCTGGATAGTCTTGCCCTTATCTGGGCTCCCTGCCAACGATACTATGCGTCTTCCGAGAGATGAGCTTTTAGATATAGTATTTGGGATTGTAATTCGTCGAAGAATGATTCCTGCCCTTGCGAAAATTGTTTTTGTTCGGCGTCTATGAGACTTTGCATTATCATGATCTCATGTTGGTATTGCTGTGCAGCTATATGTTTGGAATATTCATTACATTTTTTTGCCAAAAAAAACAAACCGTTGTTAAACCATGCAATTTGAGAATCTTGTTGGGAGCGGTGATCCTTCCAGAAGTTCCGAACCTGCTGCAGATACTTCTGGAAGGATTTAAAATGAAGCAGAGAAGTGTTGAGTTTATAGTAACTGGTTCCCTGATCTGGTCGTTTTCGGAAGGTCCAGACTGCCATACACATCCTGTGGTCCAGGTCGGGGCGTGGGCTGATCGACAGTATTGCTGCGAAGGTAAGTCCTCCACTCAAGTCCTCAGATGCCAAGATTAGATCGATTCTAGATCTTGACAGTCTGTCGGGATTATTTTTTCGCAAACAAGTAAAGGTCTTTTCGGTCGGGTGACTACGCCTGAAGGTATCGAAAAGTGAAAGGGGGGCAGACAAATCCCTCAGCATCCCCTCGTCCTCCTCTGCGTTGTGTGCGGTAGTAAGAGGGATTCTGCAATGGTCTAGCCATCTGTCCGACGTGGCATTGAAGTCTCCTGCTAAGATTAGCGGAGTGTCAGGGATAGGGATCATTTCAATATTTTCGAATTTTTTTTTTTTTTTCCGTGGAGTGTTAGGAGCGTAGATGGATACAATGCATACTATTTCTAACTCCAACATACCCAACACCTTAACCCATCTTCCTTCCACCTTATCCTATTCCCAGTCGAGAACTTCGAAGCGTGATTCGGGCGGAATCCATATAGCCACCCCTGCACTCCCTGGAGTAGGGGCAAAAACTTGGTATTTTTGAAAGGGTCAAACTTGCTTGTGTGCCCTGTGATGTTCTGGTATGTCCATTAAGTGGGTGTCCTGGACGCAAATTATGTCCCACAACGCATTATTTTTTTCTGGGTTGGGGGATACCAGACCGTTTACATTGATCGATTGAATATCTAGGTCTGCCTGCTGAAAAGTGTGTTTCCACTTTTGGTTCTTGCCATACACCAGTTCTACCCAGTTCATTTTGAACTCTTTGTTTCCTCCCACTATTTGGCTTGGAATGGTGACCAATCATGTGCATCCCAATCTACTCCCCTGGTAAGAATGTTCTTCCTTAGTCTTGTGCATATGCAGGTGAGTAGGTCGTCCGTTGACCAAATATTACTAGGTTTAATTTTTAGTTGTTGGGTGTCCAGAAGCAAGTTGTGTGTGAGCCATTGCAACCCTGCTTCCTTGTTATCTTCAAATCTTACGTATATGTCTTTATAGACCATCTTCAGGTTTTCCGAAGATACGCTGATGGTAGCTATTGCTCCTGGCTCGTATTGGTTTGTGATAAAGTTTGTGACCTCCTGGATTCGTAGTGTCCCCTCCCTTTTCATGTGCCAACCATGCAACGTCATCTCTCCGTAGGACGGGGCGTATGAGTGAGTCAGCCGGTGACAGACCCAGTTCTCATTTTTCGGTCTTCCTTCTGATGGGAAGTACCAACACTTTGTCCCCTTTCGATAGACTTTTGTGGTACAATCCCTTCTCAATGAGATGACGTATTTTTAATCATTTGGAGAGTCTTGTTTCCTCTGCATTTCGTGTCTCCTCATCCTTTCCTTGTTCGGTTATTTCTATGTGCGATGTCGGTTGGGTATTGTCAGGAGGGAAGGGTTTGTTTGTACGACCTGAACCGTCAGTGTCTTCAGGCAGATCAGGTATCCTGTCTGCCCGATCTGATGCTTCAGGCTGGTCGGGTGCCTTGGCCGTTTCGTGGGGCTGGAACTTTTGGTGTACAATGTTCCAAACTCTATACAACACTGATTGCCAATCCATATTCGGGGATAGGCCTTGCCCCAGGGTTTGTTTTAGACTGGGACTGTCGTCTAGTAAGGAGAGCAGTTGTACGTAAGCCTCGTCCCAGTATGTCTCCGATTGGCCTGTATGTAATGACTGAAGATGGCTAATTAGCCATTCTGCCAAACCCTTTAGCTTAGTCTCGATATCCTGAATTGGCTTGTCGAATAAAGTAACGAACTCAGGTCTAATCATAAACAGTTGAAGAGTGCAGGTCCAGACCTGATCTTAGGAATGAGAGTGCAAGTCTGGTTCCTCCCACTGTCCTCGCAACTGTCGGGCAAACTGAGATTGGAGGTGGATGACCATCGGATTGAAACTACGATTGCTTTGGAAGAAGTTAGAGTCTGGGTACAAAAACTGAAACCCGAGAAGCTGACAGCTACGCTACTGAGGGATGCAGACCAGTTTCGGGTGGAACCTCTGCTGCAAGGATGGACAAACGATTCTCAATTTGTACCGTTGATTCATTACAAACCAAGGGTCGGGGTTCAAGTGCAGCTAAGGGGCAGGAAGAAATCGGCAGAGTCAGTAGCTCTGAAAAGAGCAAACAAACTTCAGCTGACAGGGGCAACGGGCCCAGGACTACGAGCTCTGTGGAAGCCATTGACCAAAACTCTGGTACAGAAGCATGCTAGTATCATGTGGCCACAATCTCTGTTGGTTACCGCTACCTCAATCTGGCCGTCAACGAAAGGCATGGACATTCCCACCCAGTGCCTGAGATGCAACTGGGGATGGGAAACCATGGTTCACATCTGGTTGTTCTGCCCTTTGGTCGACGAGATTCTATCATGGTGGAAAAAGCATAGGACATTAATTACAGGCGGAAGCTTTGATTGGACAGACTCTTGGATGCTTACGGGGATATTGCCTTCAGGGGCTCAGTACTCCAGTGGGTGGGGCTACATTTCCCTGTGTAGCAGGGGGGTATTAATGCAGACAATCTGGTCAGCACGGAATGCGTGTGCTTTAAGACGCGAAGAGACTCCCAAGCAACAGCAACAGCAGCAGATATAACAACACCTGAGGAGAATCATTAGAGCTGACTGTTTGAAGAGGAGCCGGGTTTGGTTTTTGAAAACATGGGCAATGGGTTCTCGGTTGGCTTCGGTGAACCAGGACGGTAGACTCACCCTGTGTTCGTGGTTATCTGACACCTCCGATTAAAGTCGAGCAGACCGTGGTAGGTCAGGTTAGGCAGGTGGGGACATTAACGAGATAGTTAAGCAAGGGCCCCATTGGCCGAGCAAGGTTGGCTTTTCTGTAAGAGTGATTTTTTTGGGGTTGGAATAATTGGGCCATTTTGGGCCAATCCCTCTGAGAAGGTTTTTAAGTGAGGGCCGCCCGGACTTGTTGGTTAAGAAGATACTATTGTAGGCTGGCCTAGTAGGAGGTGTTGTTGGCCTCCAACCCTTTTTTTACTGCGCTTCAAGGATAATGTTTTTGGAAGGATGCTATGGTTAGTAGTAGAGGATTTTGGGACAGTGGACCCGGTTTCCAGGATAGCCTAACCTGGGTAATGGCCCCTGTACTTTACCAGGTTGTTTGTGAGGATTCCAGCCCCGTCCACTTCTTTTTTTTTTTTTTTTTTTTTTTTTTTGAGATATATTCTTCTCTCAATTTCACCTCACACTACCTACCTACCACTACTCCTAATTGTAGCCATACGGGGCTAGATGTGTATAAGAGACAGAGCTTGAAGAGGT